CTGCATTGGCCCTCGCCCGCTCCAGCAGCCTGGTGTAGGGGGGCCCACGGCCGTGGGGCGGCCGTCCTGAGGGCTCACCCCTCACCGCTGAGGCGGAGACAGGCACAGCACCCGCCGTGGGGCCTGTCCCCTCCCGCCGTCCTGCCAACCCTGCTGCTCCCGGAAACCCCCGCCGCCCACACCCTTTGGATCTTGGGTGAGGCCTCCAGAGGTTCTTTCCGAGGGTCTCAGCATCTAGCACTGCTGCGAAGACTCGGCGTTTCAGAGCAGTTTTAGGTTCAGAACTGCCTCCCGCAGTCAGCATCCCACCACAGGGCCTCCGTGGTCGCAGGCCATGAACCTCCTGACATGCCATCGGCACCCGAGTCCACGCTGACATCTGGGGTCCTCTTGGTGCTGGACATCATACAGGTTGGGACAGGCGTGTCACCACACATACCCGCCACAGGACTGTGGGTGGCATCGTGCAGAGGAATTTTACAGAAACCCTCTGTGCTCTGCCTGCGTGTCCCTCCCCTCCCTGGGGGCCACTGACCCTTTCACTGTCTCTGTTCTGCCTTTCTCCCGGGGTCGCACAGTTGGAATCAGGGAGCACAGAGCCTTTCATGTCTCCTTATCGTGTCATTTTCCTGATGAAGTTTTTGTTCATGAAGAAATGACTGGCGGGGGGCGTCTGGGTGGCTTAGTCGGTGAAGCATCGGCCAGGGTCCCGGATCGAGACCCGCACTGGGCTCCCTGCTCATCTGGGAGCCTGCCTCTCCCTCTGCCCCTCCCTCCGCATCATGCTCTCTCACTCTCAAATAAAATCTTAAGAAAAAAATTATTTGGTAAAAAAACAAAAAAAACAGATTAGGGACCTAGCTTTAGTTAGCCTGCTAACCCACCACTACTCACTAGGCATGTGTGTATGAATACTAAAATCACTATTCGTGTTTATTATTCATTATTACACATGCATCTAAAATCCTGTTGTAACACTATCCCCCTGTGGAAGCAGTGGTTTTCAGTCATGTTGTGTGTCCTGCCTGACTGAGACTCGTGCCGGGCTGGCTCTTGGACGCCAGTGTCTCCCACGTGACCGTGGCACAGGGGCAGCGCACATGCTTGTCAAAAATGATTGTACCGTGACCACTTTCTAGAATGATGGTTTGGCTGGAACAAGAACCTGGCATTTTCTTACAGCCTTTTTTAAAGCAAAAGTCCCAGTGTCCTCAGAGAAATTGGCCCTCAGTCAGAGCCCTGTCCTTGGGGAGGGCCTCCCTTTTCTCTCTGGCTGCCTTTCTCCTGTGTTACTGGCTGGTGTCTGGACTAGATCAGTTTGCCTTAGTTTTACCTGCTCAGGAATTGGTTGGTTTTCTGAAATCTTAAGACTTATCTTAAAATCTTAAAACTTAAGACTTACGAGATCTTGGTTGGTTGTCCTTCCCATTCTTTGAAATTCTCAGCCATCGTTTCTTTAAAGACTCTTCGTCTGGTTTGTTTCTGACCTCTTCTGGAGATCTCATCAGACCTGCTGGAAGCCCCTCCCTCCCTCCATCCCTCCCTCCCCCCTCCTCTCCTGCCTCCCTGGGGTTCCCCAAAGGAAATGCTGGGAGCCAGTGGATGGATTCCTGTATCTTTATAAGGAGGTTACATATTGTGTTTGTTCATTTCTTTCATTGGTTTTTTATCTTTCCCCGATTTCTTTAACAGTTACCTTATTCTTGTTTAGTGATCGCGTCTGCATCTGAGGGCTGCTGTGGCTGGGCCTTGGGGATCTGGAGGGGCAGGATTGTTGGTGCGATTATAGCTTCCAGACAGTCTGCCGTTATGCACTGGGTTTTCTAGTTCACCTGAGTAGGAGAGTTTTAGAATTTTTTAGTTATTTTTAAACATGTGTTGAGTTTTACTTTTGAATCTGTTCTGTTAAGCAGTCTTATCATACATACTTACATTTTTTTCTAAATTTATGTGTGTTTGTCCACTTGAACTGCCAAGATCCATGATTTTGTATTGAAATCTTGGTGCGGCTCCTGCGTTTCTGCTGGTTCCCCTTCCCTTCTTCCTGCGCTGCCACTTGGTGTGAAGTGCCCGCAGAGGTGCGGCTCAGCCTGCTTCACACTGTGCGCCGTCCTTTCTGATGTCCAGTAACACTTGTCGGTATTTTTAATCAGGTGTTTAAAAGGGTCGTTTCCAGAAAGGTAAAATATGGCTCAAATAGCTATGAAAATGGGCAAAGGTTTAGGGTTTGCTTCTGTTCACTAGATAGTGAGGGGACCAGTCAGATGTTATAGCCAGTTCCAAGGAAAAGCTGGTACACAGATTTATCCGGAATAAAGAAACTGAATTACAGATGGAGACTGGGGCGCCTGGGGGGGACTCAGTCGTTAAGCATCTGCCTTTGGCTCAGGTCATGATCCCGGAGTCCCAGGATCGAGCCCCACATCGGGCTCCCTGCTCTGTGGGAGGCCTGCTTCTCCCTCTCTGTCTGACCCTCCTCCTGCTTGTGTTCTCTCTCTCTCTCTGTCAAATAGATAAATAAATAAAATCTTTAAAATAAAAAAAATTAAGACAACACCAAACGAAAACCTTTGAACTTATTATGCTTTTCAACCTGAAAGAAACAAAGAACAGCTACAATTCTAAACCAGCATCAATAAAACCAATATTATTCTTATGAGAATCAGTGGGCCACTAACTGATACAAGGTAGAACATAAATATCTAGTCTACCTAATTTGAGACTAATTTGAATCGTTGCCACTGAATTCAGTTGCAGATGTTTATTCTGGAAGATGCTATTATGAATGTCGCAGACTCCAATGCTGACAGTGGGTGTTCAAGATTAAATTCATGGAGTACCCAGAAAATAGGCTGAATTGGAACCTGTAGACAGTTTTCAAACACTCCTTAGCAAGTTTTTTTTTAAGACATAGAGGGCTATTGTTTTCCTACAAACTGGAAGTTTTGGTTTAAAATCAGCTTTCCGTTGTCACATGGCCATAAACCAAAGACCCAAAAATTTCAGATGATCCCAGACACTGCTAGGGCAAAAGCTGTCGCGCGTCAGTCCTTCGAGGGTTGAGCGCGTCGAGTTACCGAGTTACCGTGAGGAGGGGACGGTCAGCGAGACGTGGCCCGAAACCTTCCCGGCCGCGCAGCGGGTCACAGTCAGCCGGCTCACATGCCACCTCCAGGGCGGTTCCCCCGTCAGTGCACTTGGTGACGGTCTCGTCCTTTGCCCCGAAAAGGCCCAGGGGCGGTTCGAGCTGGGCAGGAGCGGAGGGCGCGCTGCCCGCTGCTCTGCCTGGGACCCGGCCGCGACGCCGGTGTCACTTGCTGCTAAAGCTTGGATGTGCGCGAGGCAGAGCGGGCGGGCAGCGGGGGCAGCGGGGACAGCAGCTCCCCGCGGGGGAGGGACCCCGGGCGGGACCTGAGGCCCCCCACCCCCCGCGCCGCCCGGCTGCAGTGAGACGGACCCAGCTCGTCGGACCTTGTCCGAGCGGGAGCCGCTCCACTGGCAGCTGGAGGCTGCGGCTGGGCAGGGCCACCGTCCCACGAGGCCTCGGAGAGCGCGACTGCGGAGGGTCGTCCCCCAGCCGGGTCCGCGGCCTCCGGCGTCGTCCCCGACTCGCGCCGCGCCCTGACCCGCCCGGCCGCGGCTCCCTGCCGCTCCCGGGGACGCGCCGCCGGCTCTGGCCCGAGCGTCGGCGTCCGGAAGGCCCGGGGAGACACGAGGCCGCTTAGGAGCGCTGCCCTTCGGGTGTCGGAGCAGAGGCCGCCCAGGGGTCAGACGCGGCCGCGGAGGGCGGGAGCGGGTGGGGCCGAGCCTGCGACCGTGTACACGCGTCCCCAGGGCCGAACTCTGGGCCCGCGTGAGTTCGGTTCTGGTCCGAGGAGTCCACGTGCTTCCCGACGGGAGCCCCGGAGATCCTGCCTCGGAGCGGGGCGGGGCGGCCCGTGACCCCCGCGGGCGCCTGAAGCCGCGGACGGGAGCAAACCGCACGCACCCGCCGGTGTTGGCGGCCGCTCCCGCCGGTGGCGACGTCTGCCCACGACGCGCGGCGAGAGGCTCCCGGCGGCGAAACGGCGGCGACAGCGCGCGCCGCGACGGAGGTCTGCGCCCGCGTCCCTCGGAGGGACCTTCCTCCGCTGTGCGGTGACGCCGCGGGCGAGAGGACGGAGGGGAGGGCGCGGGCCCGCGAGCTCGGGCCCGCCGCTGCCGAGCCGACCGTGGGGCGCCCTGACCTTGTCCGCGCAGCCCGCGGCCGCCCCGTCGAGCCTCCCTGCGCGCGCTGTTCTCTTTGGTCAAAGCAGAACTTCTCCGCAGCCGCGGCGGCCTCTTGCTGCTGGTCCCCAGCCCCGCGGCGCGGACGGAGGAAGGAAACTCATTTCCACACCCGGCCCCGCGTCCTTTTGTGTCCCGGACAGATGCGCACCGAGCACTGGGGGTCCCAGCGCGGGCGTCCCGTCGGCCGTCGGCGATTCTGCTTTGGCCGCGCACCCCGCACCCCGCAGCGTCGTTCCAGGTCGCCCGCGGCCTCGCCGGCGCCCCCGCACGCTCGCTGCGAGCGCTCCCCCGGCGGCAGTCGGCCCCGCCACGCGCCGGGCCTGGATTCCGAGACCCGGAGGCGCCCGAGCCCGCACGCCGCGCGCCGGCCGCCGGGAACCCTGCCAGGTCCGGACGCGCCGCGGAGGCTCCTCGCGCGTCTCCAGGGTGTCCCCGGCCCCTGACCCGCGGCCGCCCGGCTCCCGGCCGCCCCACCCGCACCCCGCCAGACAGACGTGCCCGGAGCGGGGCCGGCCGAGCCGCGCCCGCCGAGTGCTTGTGCGGCCACGGGGGGGCCAGAGTGACGGACACTCGGAGAGCAAACCCCGTGGGCGCCTCGTCTCGGTCGCTGGAGCACGAGGTCCTGACCTCAGGGTGGTGAGTTCAAGGCCCACATAGGGCTTCCATGAAAACCAAGCAACCAAACAAAAACACCAAAAAGAAGCAAATCCTTCTCCTCCCCTTGTTTCTAGGGGAAGCACCTCATCACCCCCTGCCCGGCGCCGAGGTCCAGAACCGGAGCGTCAGCTGCGAGGCCCCTTTGGGACAACTGCAGCCCCGTTTTGCAGCTCAGGTAATCCTCCTTTATCTAAGAAGTGTCCCTTTAGTACCTGTTTACGGGTCACCTGAGCGTGGAATTTCATTACTGACATGGAAAACCCAGTGAGCACAGCTGCAAAGGCCTCTGATGTTCACACCCAAGTGTCGCTACCAGTAACATCTCAGTGCGTCTCCTCCTGTTTCCGTTTTAAATACTTGTTTATTTATTTTAGAGAAGGGGCCGAGGGAGGGGGAGAGGGAATCTCTGGCAGACTCCCTGCTGAACGCAGAGCCGCCGTGGGGCTGTCTCCCAACTCTGAGATCGTGACCCGAGCTGAACCCAAGAGTTGAGACCAGAAGTCGGACACTTAACCAGCCGAGCCACTCAGGCACCACTCCTGCTGATTTTAAAATGACCTAAGTAAATAGCAAACATAAAATTACCAATTACATCATATGTATGTTTTACCGTAGCCTTACCCATCTGGGCATTATTTTTCCTTTTTTTTAAAGATTTTATTTATTTATTTGAGAGAACAGTGAGCGCACACACACACCCAGAGGCAGAGGGAGAAACAGGCGCCCCACTGGGCAGGGAGCCGGACACGGGGCTCGACCCCAGGACCTTAGGACCATGACCTGAGCGGAAGGCAGACGCCCAACTGACTGAGCCCCCCAGGCGTCCCCTATTTTTCAAATCTTTACCAATATGGTGAGTTAAAAAAATTTCATCTTTTAGAATTTTCTTGTTTCTTTGGTGGTATTAAAGCCTGTAATCTATTTATTGGCCATATACATTTCCTCTTTTGTGGGTTATTTATACACATGCTTTGCTAATTGTTCTATTGTGTTTGTACTTGTTAGTTCTCTTGAGTTCCTTATCAGTGAAGGAACTGCTACTTGTCCATTATAACTTTTCCCAGAGTTACCTGCCTTATCCTTTCTTTGTTTTCTTAATCCACCGGTAACTTTTTTTAATATGGTGAACCCTTGTCAGTCTACTTTCACGATTTATTTCACTGTGTTTTTTCTCTGTTTCAAGTTTAGGTAAATATCTACCCATTTTTTCTAGCTTTTCTGTTTCACTGTCATAGTGCCCTTAAGTAATTATCCTTTTTCTCACTGGTTTTTTTTTTTTCAAGATTTTATTTATTTATTCAACAGAGAAAGAGAGAGATCACAAGTAGGCAGAGAGGCAGGCAGAGAGAGAGGAGGAAGCAGGCTCCCCACTGTGCAGAGAGCCCGATGCGGGGCTCGATCCCAGGACCCTGAGATCATGACCTGAGCCGAAGGAAGAGGCTTAACCCACTGAGGCACCCAGCCGCCCCTTTCTCACTGGTTTTGAATGGATTTTTCTTTAATCATCTGTTAAACATTTAAACTCTTGCTTATGTCTTTTTCAAATTCATTTTTTATTTTGAAATAATTTCAAATTTACACAGAGTTGCAAAAATAGCACTATACTCTTCACCTAGACTTACCAGTTAGTTGTTAACTGATCACTACATTTGCTATGCCATTCTCTTTCTTCCCTCTCTCTGCCTCCCCTACATTTTAGATAGATGGATAGGTGATGGGTGGGTGGATGGACGATGGACGGACGGATGGGTGGTTGGATGACACACATAGATACATGAACATGTGCACGACTTTGTTGCTAGACCAGCTGTGGTGCAGGTGGTACGTGAGAAGACGGGCCTCGGTGCGCCCCACGAGAGCCCAATAGACTCTGAAAGTTTGTTTTCATGTAATCTTCCTGTCATGAAACAGATTTTTTTCAACTATTTAAAAACATAAAAACTATTTTTAGCTCATGGGCTGGACAAAGGTGGGGATTTGGCCTCTGCCAGGTGTGGCTTGCCAAGCCCAGGTCTACATACTGGTCTGTATACGTTCTTTTTGTTGAGTAAATACAACAGTGGCTCATCCGTTCTTCTCTCAGGGGACAGTCAGGGTGTTTTTTGCTGTAAACATTGTTACGCAAGTGCTCTGGCACACACATGTCAGCGTCCCACAGATGGTGTGTCTGTCACAGCTGACGAGCCCGCGCGGACACGCCATCGTCACGCGGAGCCCGTGGCGTACGTCACGGCTCGCTCTCGCCGCTGTGCGTTCTGTGGGTTTGCACACGTGTGTAATGACGTGTGTCCACCATCGCGGTCTCCTACGGAGCAGTCTCGCCGTCCGACAATTCTCTGTGCTCTGCTCATCCTTCCCCCGTCCCAGCTCTGTCCTTGGTACCCACTGATCCTGCTGCCCCCAGCTCTGCTGTTTCCAGAACGTCCTGGGGTTGGGATCCTGCGCTCCGTGGCCTTCTTTCTCCAGGGAACGCGCACGTGAGCTGCCTCACGTCTTCCCGCGGCTGGAATGCTCCCTTCTTCCCTCCGGGAGGCATTCTGTGTGATGACTGTACCCGTTTGTTCGTCTCGAGGCTCTCTTTAAACTAACCTTTTCTAGCTATTGCGGGTGCTTAGGAGCAGAGTTGGCTTTTTTTTTTTTTTAAAGAGTTTTTATTTATTTGTCAGAGAGGGAGAGAGAGAGCGAGAGCGCACAAGCACGGGAGAAGCAGGCTCCCGGCTGAGCAGAGAGCCCAATGCAGGACTCGAACCCAGGACACTGAGATCATGACCTGAGCCAAAGGCAGATGCTCAACCCACTGAGCCACTCAGGTGCCCCCATAGTTGGCTTTTATGAAATGTTTTGTATCTGGCAACTCTGCAGAACGGATCGGCGCTAACACGTGTGGCAGCCGTTTTCCTGGGTTCTCTGTGCGGATGGAGAGCATCTGTGGTGAGGGTGTGGCTCCCCCCCCTCGCAGTCCTGTCTCATGCTGCTGTCCGGGATTCCCATGCATCACAGGGAATAGGGCCATCCGCACCTTTGTCCTGTTTTATGGAATGCTCTTTTGCATTTTTTTTTTTTTTGGTAACAATTTTATTTTTTTAATCAATCTCTACATGCAACGTGGGGCTCAAACTCCGTCCCGAGATGAAGAGTCATGTGTTCCACCAGCTGGGCCCGCGAGGCGCCCCAAATGCTTTTTGCATTTTACATTCACGTAGAAAGTTTGCTATTGACTTGGGTATTAAGTTGAATCCTACGAAATGGCCGTCTCTGTGAGTCAAAAGTGGTTAAATATCAGCAATTTCATGCAGCTCGACCTCAGACAGACCCTTCGTCAGTTAGAAGTTCTTTCTCCTACTGCTCTACTGAGTTCTTACCCAGAACAGATGCTGCGTTCCATCTGCTCATGCTTCTGACTCTAGCCCGATGACCACGACCTGGGGCCCGGCTGGCGGGATGCCACTGTCCTTCCACAGAGGTCACGGCCTCCGGCGTGCCAGCCACCTGTGTGTGCAGGCCAGGCGTTGCTGCCTTCAGTGTCCGCTCCTCACAAGCCGTTCCGCACGACGAGGAGCTCCTGCCTGTCGTGAGCTGATGGCGGTAGCAAGCACGTGTCTTGGCGCTGTGTGTAGTGTGTCATTTGCCAACGTTCGGTTTCCTGGAAGGATAGGGGAGTTTCCTAAAGTCTTGAGACTAACCTTACCTGCCCGTGCTCTACCAAGGTAGTCTCCAGTGTGTGGCTTTGCCTTTTCCGTTCCTTGGCAGTGAAGTAGCAGCTGGGAGACAGATGGCCCGTTCCACCGTGGGCTGGCGTGAGCCCCAAGGTGGCCCGAGCAAGGTAGCTGTGTTCAGGTTCTACGTTGACCTGGGGGCCCGGGCACGAGGGCTGGGCGGCCAGCCGGGAGAAGTGTCACATCTGGAGACAGCTGAAGTCAGGGTTCGCTGTGGGATGGCTTTGGAATGTGAGAGCAGGCAGGAACCCGGCTGCTGGGCCGGGGGGAGGCAAACAGTGGCTTGGGCTTGGCGAGACCCGAGCTGCCCATCCAACACGTCCGTCAGGCACACACCTCACGGGGCTGGGGGTCGGGGGCCTTCCACTGGGCCGCGACACAAGTCCTTGGCAAAGGGCAACGTCTCAGTCACGGGACAGCAGGGACAGCACGAATGGCAGGGACAGCGTGGACAGTGCCCGAAATGGGTCTGCAGGAGAGGCCTGCACAACGGCAGTGGTCTGCCCGACGAGGCGACGCCGGCCTGAGAACCTGGGCAGGGCCGGCCACAGAAAAGGGGCCAAAGACCATGGCTACTTCCACCAGAGGACCCCATCCCCCGCACGGCCCCCTGTCCTGGGGGACCCTTCACCGCTTGTGGGACTTGCTATGAAGCACTGAAGTACCAGCAGTTCGTGACTTTCCAACCTGCATCGATTAAAATTCTAAACTCATGTTGGAAGAAAATCTCCCAAGGTGTCGCATAGATATGCCTGTTCTCTGTCACAGTAAAACGTGCACGTTGCTCCCTGGACCTCCACTTCCTTCTGGTACATTAAGTACCGTCTTACACTCTATTAACCCCTCCAGACCACAGAATTCACGTCTGCACTACCCCAGTGAGATGACTCCTTTCTTACAACTTGGGAGAGGACGACTCCCTGAGGCCCACTCTCTGAACCAGTAGATAAATAAGCAGCGGATATGATCGGAAACCACGGAAGAAGGGCGCCTATGAGGCGCCGTCGGTTAAGTGTCTGACTCTCAATCACGGCTCAGGTCGTGACCTCAGGTCCCAGGATCGAGCCCCGTGTCGTGTAGTGTCGTGTCGGGTTCCCTACTCAGTGGGGGGTGAGATTCTCTCTCTCTGCCTCTGCCCCCCCCACCCGTGCTCACTCTCACTTTCTCTCAATAAATGTTTAGAAAAAGAAAAGAAACCACGGAGGAAGAAGCCCAGGGAGTCGCTCAACAAACACGAAAAGCCCGTTCATCATCAGAGCCGGCTCGTTAAAACCAAAGACGCGCATGCATTACTCAGTCCAATTCAAATATTAATCCCACTAGAGCAGAGAAGAGCGGCGCTGTGGGCCTGAATGTCCTCCGGGGCTCCGGGAAGAGGCTGGGGGTCTGGCCGGCTCCCGCACGAGTGGCCCGCTGCTCAGCATCTGCCCTAGTGCGGCTCCTTTTAATTCCTCCGTTTTCTTCCAGGTTTCTGTTCAGTGCCTCCTAAGACTCCTTACAGTTCCCCTCGACGGCTCGGTGGGCGGAGGGTGGGAGGGCCCTGCCAGCAGACTGAGGGGCACAGGGGTCAGGCCGCGGGAAAGCGGTCTGTGTGATGTCGGGGCGCTTGGTCTCCTGAAGGCCGGAAGGGGTACTTGGGGACGCTGTTCATCCTGGCAGGTGGACGTGACCATGCCCCTCCTTTCCCAGCTGCCACTGACCTGAGCGAGTCCCTGACACAGGGAGTCCTTCCTCATCTCGGGGGAGGCCTTGGTAACACAGCCCATCAGCTGTCACCGACACCGGATTCCTTCTGTTTGCATTTCCACGGCAGGGCTCTGAGAACACCAGCAACACCCGTGTCTCTGAGCGCTCAGGGAGGGTGCAGCCCCGCCGGGCCCAGACAGCCGGGAGAAGCCAGCCTCCGCAGGGCCAGGCCGCGGGAGCAGTGACAAGGTCAGGGCAGGTACGCTGGGCCACAGGTGCTGGGGACACCACACCCCGTCTCAGCACGGGAACCAGCTGCGGGCAGCAGAGCGCCTGGGGTCCTAGCAGGGGGCTGCTGCTGTGGCCACCCCAGACGGTCCTCTTAGGATGGAGGGAGTTGGCTCTCATGCCTCCGCAGAGGGGCGCACCCGGGGCGCGGGGGGGTGGGTGGCACGGATGCTGGGGGGGCCTTGGCGCAGCCAGAGAGGTGGGCTCTGGGGCATCGTTCCATGGAGACCAGACTGCTTTGTCCTTCCAGGGTCCGTAGGAATCCCAGTGGTCCCGCACTGGCCAGCCAGTGGGCTTGGGAGCATGGGCCTGTCCCCAGGGCCTCTGCGCGACAGTCCCTGAAGCCTCTGCCCAGCCTGGCCAACAGTCTTGTCGCTGACTCCAGGGGCAGGGAGAGCCGGCTCTGGGGTCATTCTGTCTTTGTTTACTTCCCTTGCAGCAGCACCGAATGTCTGCGGCGACTTGCAGATGCAGTTGGCACAAAGAAAACCGGTCCCCAAAGCCGCGCCCTGCTCACGAATGCCCCACGGAGAGTAGGTGCCCGGCTGGGAGCTCCTCCTTGGTGGCCAGCAGTCCCCTCCAGGACACGTGGAAGTTACTGGACCTGGGATCCAGCCCCTCTGGCCTCACGTCCCAGGACGACTTGGCACCAGGTAGGCTGGGGCAGGGCTCCAGGGTCCTCAACAGGCCAGGCTTGGCCCCTGGCCGCTGACAGAAGCCACAGGCAGAGAGACGGCAGCGGTGACATGAGAAAGATTATTTCAGGGACACCGTTCCTGGGAGGCCAGCGGACCAGCGTTTAGAACCCTCCAAGTGCAGGAAACACGTCCCAGTTTACGTAGGGACCACATGGGACAAAGGTCCATGAGTGCGGGCAGGCGGCCGTGACGGCCAGGTCAGTCCCTGTCATGGGATCAGTCACGGGCATCCCGCTGGCTCAGTCCTTCCAGCTCGAAGGGAATTTCAGTCCCCACTGGGGACCCTGCTCTCAGGGTCTCAGAGAGAAGCAGGAAGGCAGAACTTGAGCCACGACCGTCTGGCCGGAGGTCAGAACAGAGGTGAGATGTGCTGTCCCCGCTGCTGCCTGGCGGGGCTGGATGACCACTATCAGGCTGACACGCAGACAGACACATGGCATTCTTTCTGCCTGTGCGGGCTCCTGTGCAGGCGCTCCGGCCACGTCACCCCTGGGCCCATCCGCGGGGGTCCCCTCCCCGGGGAGCTGTTGCATCCACCTGGGAGACCGGCACTCTCTGTGCCAGTGGGCCTCGCGAGCACCGCTCTGTCCTTGCCCTAGTCCCGCCTGGTGCTCTCGATGTCCAAAGGATTCACCTAGAGGGCCCACCTCTCGGGGAGCTGCGTGCCGCCCCCCTTGTGGCAAGAAGGCAGAGGGAGGGCAGCCTGTGCGGAGCCCCTCGGGGATCCGTGTGCACAGAGCGTCCCCGCTCTGGCTCTGGCCCCACACAGCACGCTCCGTTGGGTCGATGTGCCTCAACCTGTGTGACCGTTGTCCTTGCTGTGGACTTTGTGGGTTATTTCCAATCTTTTGTCACACGTGTCGTGTTAAAGTGAAGGGCCTTGCAGCCCGCGGGGCGGGGCCGTGCTTTGTCGGTTCCGGAAGCCGCCGTCCAGCGGGGCTCTGGCAGTGTCTGCAGCCGCTGGGGTTGGGAGGTGGTGGCCCTTCCCGAGTCCTCACTTCTTCTCCTCGCCTTCAGGTCCCTGCCCCTTTGTACATGGAGTTTGCTGTCTTTGTCTTACTGATTTGTGGGAGCTCATCTTTTATGATGGAAATTAGGCCTTTTCTAAAACATGAATTACAGATCTCACCACCCCAACACCCCCCAGGTTCTTATTTGACTTTAAAAAAAATTTTTTTTAAACATTTTCATTTTTAAATTCAATTAATTAACACACAGTGAACTGTTAGTTTCAGGGACTAAGGTCAGTGACGCGTCGGTTGCTCACAACTCCCGGTGCTCATCGCATCCCGTGTCCTCCTCAGTGCCCGTCACCCAGTGCCCCCGGCCCCCCAGCCCCGGCCCTCCAGCCACCCTCGGTCTGTTTCCTGTGGCTAAGGGTCTCTTACAGTTTGTCTCCCCCAATTTTGTCTTGTTTTGTTTTTCCTTCCCTTCCCCTTTGCTGCTCTGTCTTGTTTCTCAAATTCTTCGTATCAGTAAGATCATATGATAACTGTCTTTCTCTGACTGACTGACTTCGCTCAGCATAACACCCTCTAGTTCTGTCCATATCATTGCAAATAGCAAGATTTCGTTTTCTGATGGCTACATATGTTCCGTTGTGTATATACACCACATCTTCTGTATCCATTCACCTGTCGATGGACATCTGGGCTCTCCCCATAGTTCGGCTGCTGTGGACGTGGCTGCTATGAACATTGGGGTGCAGGTGCCCCTTCGGATCCCTGCATCTGTATCTTTGGGGTAAATACCCAGTAGTGCGATTGCTGGGTCGTAGGGCAGCTCTATTTTCAACTTTCTGAGGAACCTCCATGCTGCTTTCCAGAGTGGCCGCCCCAGCTTGCGTTCCCACCAACGGTGCAGGAGGCTCCCCTCTCTACGCATCCTCGCCAGCATCTGTCGTTTCCTGACGTGTTAATTTTAGCCATTCTGACTGGCGTGAGGTGGGATCTCATTGTGGTTTTCATCTGTATTTCCCTGATGCCGAGTGAGGTGGAGCACTTTTTCATGTGTCTGTTGGCCATCTGGATGTCTTCTTTGCAGAAATGTCTGTTCATGTCTTCTGCCCATTTCTTGGTTGGATTATTTGTTCTTTGGGTGTTGAGTTTGATAAGTTCTTTATAGATTTTGGATACTAGCCCTTTATCTGATAAGACTTTTGCGATTATCTTCTCCCATTCTGTTGGTTGTCTTTTGGTTTTGTCCACTGTTTCCTTTGCTGTGCAGAAGTGTTTGATCTTGATGAAGTCCCAGGAGTTCACTTTCACCCTTGCTTCCCCTGCCTTTGGGGACACGTGTAGCAGGAAGCTACTGCTGCCAAGGTCACGGAGGTCGCGCCTGTGTTCTCCTCTAGATCTGGACGGCTTCCTGTCTCACACTGAGGTCCTTCATCCATTTGAGTCTGTTTTCATGTGTGGTGTAAGGAAATGGTCCAGTTTCATTCTTCTGCATGTGGCTGTCCAGTTTTCCCAACACCATCTGTTGAAGAGACTTTTTTCCATTGGACATTCTTTCCTGCTTTGTCGAAGATTAGTTGACTATAGGGGTGAGGGTCCATATCTGGGTTTTCTATTTTGTCCATTGATCTGTGTTTTTGTGCCAGTAACAGGCTGTCTTTTTTTTTTTTTCTTAAGATTTTATTTATTTATTTGAAGGAGAGAGAGATCACAAGCAGGCAGAAAGGCAGGCAGGGAGAGGAGGAAGCAGGCTCCCCGCTGAGCAGAGAGTCCGATGCGGGGCTCGATCCCAGGACCCTGAGGACATGACCTGAGCCGAAGGCAGAGGCTTTAACCCACTGAGCCACCCAGGCGCCCCAGGACCAGGCTGTCTTGATGATAACAGCTTTGTAACAAAGCTTAAAGTCTGCAGTTGTGATGCCGCCAGCATTGGTTTTCTTTTTCAACATTCCTGTGGCTATTCAGGGTCTATTCCAGTTCCACATAAATTTTAGGATTATTTGTTCCAGCTCTGTGAAAAAGTTGATGGTGTTTTGGTAGGGAATGCATTAAACGTGTAGATTGCTTTAGGTAGCATAGACATTTTCACAATATTTCTTCTTCCAACCCGTGAGCATGGAACGTTTTTCCATTTCTTTGTATCTTTCTCCGTTTCTTTCATGATTGATCTGTAGTTTTCAGGGTATAGCTTCTTTGTGTCTTTGGTTAGGTTTGTTCCTGGGCATCTTACAGTTTTGGGTACAGATGTAAATGGGATTGACTCCTTAATTTCTCTTTCTTCTGTCTTGCTGTTGGTGTATAGAAATGGAACTGATTTCTGTGCATTGATTTTATACCCTGACCCTTTACTGAATTCTTGTATGAGTTCTCGCAATTTGGGGGTGGAGTTTTTTGGGTTTTCCACATAGAGTATCATATCTTCTTCAAAGAGCTAAAGTTTGACTTCTTCTTTGCCAATTTGGATGCCTTTAATTTCTTTTTGTTGTCTGATTTCTGAGGCTAGGACTTCTAGTACGATGTTGAATAGCAGTGGCGATAGTGGACATCCCTGCCGTGTTCCTGACCTTAGAGAAAACGCTCTCAGTTTTTCTCCATTGAGAATGATATTCGCTATCGGTTTTTCATAGGTGGCTTTGATGAATTGAGGTATGTGCCCTCTATCCCCACACTGTGAAGAGTTTGGATCAGGAAGGGATGCTGAACTTTGTCAAATGCTTTTTCAGCATCTATTGAGAGTATCATGTGCTTCTTGTTCTTTCTTTTATTTTTTTATTTTTATTTTTTGAAAGATTTTATTCATTTACTTGAGAGGGACAGAGAGAATGAGAGAGAGAGAGCATGAGAGGAGAGAGGTCAGCGGGAGAAGCAGACTTCCCGCTGAGCAGGGAGCCCGATGTGGGACTCGATCCCGGGACTCCAGGATCATGACCTGAGCCGAACCCACATGCTTAACTGACTGAGCCAGCTAGGCGCCCAAATTTGACTAAATTTGTTTAGGTTTATCCTTACATACTTTGCAAATCTCTCATAGTAGCCTTTGGATATGTTTTTCTTCTTCCAGAAGAATTTTAAAGGAGAGTTTTAATGGGAAGCTTTCTCAGGCCTTATTCGAGGAGAGTGTTCCCTCTGCCTCGCGTCTGAGTCACTCTAGTTCAGCGCAAAGCTCAGCCCCGTGTCCCAGCGCCCCAGCAGAGGCCTGGACTCACACTGCCTCTGCACACGGCCCCACAAACCTGCCGAAGGAAATGCCACAGTCAGGGCGCCTGGCCAGCTCCGTAGGTGGACCCTGCCGACTGTTGGTCGCGGGGTCATGAGTTCAAGCGCCACGTTGGCTGGAGCCTACATACAACAAAATACGTAGCCCAGAGTGTGCTCTTAAAACATGCCGCAGTCATGCTTGAAGGCACCCATACGTGGCAAGAAGGTGAAGAATTCTTAAAGCCAGAGATCCCGTGAAGGAGGGGCCCTGACTGCGGGCTGATTGCCACCAGCAGCTTCGACCCCAGGGCCCTTGTCAGACTGGGCAAACTTGGCACTGGGTGTCGTAGCCTCACGGTGTTCAGAAAGCAAGTGACAAAACTCAGCGCCCATCCCGGGTGGGGGTGTGACAGGCGATCCTGGCTCAAGGACAGAGACTGGGAAGGGTCTTCCTCACCCTCAGTGGGAAGGTGAGTCAGAAACAGCTCCGTGTCCCGCCTGCCCAGAGCGGGGCCAGGGCCCTCGCCCAGACACTGGCAGCAGGGTTGTCACCTCCAACTTGTCACCATGAGAGAGTGGCTCTCATGTGAGTTGCTCCCAGTTACAAGGCCTGGGTGGCCTGAGGATTTTAGTTCTCAGGATTCTGAACCGGTGGAGCCCCCAAGGACCGGGTGGCAGTGGAGACAGGCTACTTTAGGGGACCCCCTTTGTCCCGGGCCATAAGCATTCCCACAAATCAGATTCCAGCTGAGAATGGGATCCCACACGCAGGGGTCAAGGCACCGGGAATGAGACAGGCAG